CGGGTGGGAGCGGGGCAGCTGGTGAAGCAGGCAAGAGGCGTCGCTGCTGCGTCGTGCGCGTTCTGTCTGAGCTCAAGGCGTTCAGGGAGGAGCTCAACATGGTTGAGAAGCTCTTCAAGGCACACGGGCACCTGTGCATCTTCTTGCCGAAGTACCACCCAGAGCTCAACGCAATCGAGCGATACTGGGGGTACATCAAGCACCTCCTCCGCCTCCACTGCGAGTATTCCCTTCGCCACATGCTCCAGGTCTTGCCCGGCGCGTTGAGCGGCGTACCCGCACGGTTTATCCGCGCATGGAGCAGGGTGACGTGGCTGTACATCGAAGCCTACGACGAGGGCCTGGAGGACTACCTCGAGTACCGCGATCTCAAGGAGTGGGGGAAGCACCGAGAAGCCACCGCCAGGGGAGATGCCGTGATTCAGGCGAGGGGGGCGGGGAAGACGCCGGAGCAGAAGAAGGCAGCCGAGGCGAAGGCGCTTGCGGCTGCGCAGGAAGTGCGCAAGAAGTCGATGGCAGCGACCAGGGAAGCCTTCAACACGTGGACGAGCAAGAGAGCCTCCCGGAAGGAGCAGCTACGGCTGTGGATTTTGCGCAACACGATGAATTTTTTGAGGAAATGGTTGGGCGGGCACGCTCAGGCGTGAGTGGGGAGGGTACGTATCTATATGTCGCGGTGTGTCGTAGTGTTGGTTTCTCGCGTTTAGGCGCGGTAGAGGCGTTCGTCATGGTCACCAACTCAACGCTATTATAGCTTTCTCTCTTGGTATCGGACTTGCTTAGAGAGCACGGATGTGATTGCTGCATGCTTCGTTTGCAGCACCTTCACCAGCCAGGGGTTGAGTAGAAAGTAAACGACGGTATTGTATTATATATGTACATATGTAACGTGTAAATAATGTAAATATGGATTGACAACGGTTTAACTGATGTTCTGAAGGCATATACGTGTACAAGAGAGGGGTTGAGGGGGGGTCGTGGTGTACTTTGGGGGCTCCGTGGGGTCATGAGGGGGTGGGGGTGGGGGCTCCGTGGTTCATTTTGGTCAAAATGTCGCATTTCACACAATCACCAAAAACTCATCGGATATCGACGAAGCTCGACGCCGCGGTCACGCCCAAAGTTGTTTCACTTTCCAAATCGTTTTTTTTCGAAAGATATCGCGAAAAACAAGATTGATTGTGAATATTTGCCCGAACGGACCATACGTCCGCCATCTCGCCCGCCACAACCACCACTCGCACGGACGGATACCACACCACCCCAAGTTTCATCCCCGCATACAGGACCACCGGTTACAACGTTCCCTTGCCTTTCTCGCTTTCATTCGGCGTCGTCTTCGTTTTCACCATTCCCTACTCAAAATATTCGCCACCCCGCTCTTCTGTCCCCGCTTCACGTTTCTTGATCGGGCATCGATCATTCATTCCACTAAAATCCCTTTCGCTTTCAGTTTATTCTGTAGAACGCCGATCTACGCAACGGACAGACGCACGTATCGACCTCACATCCTCTACCTAACTAAGCCGACTTCGAGTACCCTTTTCCCGAAGCGATACATCATCATCGCGTCTACTTCCTCTACTACTTATCGAACCGCCGCACCCATCCCACGCATGCTGGCCGCCCGCCCCATTGGGGGGCGGGGGGCCCATTGTTCCCCCTACAGGGGTTCCGATGAGGGTACGTCCTTGGGTACGAAAAATCGAAAAACAACAACATATTCGCCTGATTGAGAGCGTAGCATCTGATTGAGAGCGAGATTGCGCGATACGCTGTAGCCGGACTACCACTGAGAGGTGGAGCTTGCTGTGTAGCTTGAATTGAAGGGCTAGCCCGTAGCTTCAAGCCGCTACCCTGGTCATCCTGTGGGAGTCTCTCGTTGTGGAGCTACAGCGGGGAGCAGAAGCTACAGCAGAGCCCACCGCCC